CCGTTTTTCGTGATTTTAAAGCGGGATTTTCTCCAGAAATTATATTTTAACATAATAAACTCTAAATATTCATAATTTAAACATATTTTGATGAAAATCATTATTTAAATAATAAAAATCAAATGGGTGAATTATTAAAGGTGGAGTGTTGACTTTGCCTTATCCAATGTCACAAGCAACCACCCCACACCCACTCTTTGACTAACCACACCTCTCCACCTTACCTAGGTCACATCAAAGTCCTTTCCACCAATTTACACTCATTCCCACGTTTTTAGAGCTGGAACAAACATCCTCTCTCCTCATTTTCTCTCATTTGCCCTCATTTCACTAAGTATCAAACACCACTTTCTCTCAAACTTTTCCCACTCCAAACTCGAGATTCAAGGCTGATCTTCACGTGTTCTTCCACTCTTAGTAAGTATAATTCATCCTCCTTATGATTATTTCACTTCATTCTACTCAAATCATGAATATCTTACACAAACTCCATCATATTAGCGTTAGAGCTTCGAATCTTCAAGTGATTCTTCAAGTGTTCTTGGGTTGAACACTTCTCTTCTTCAACACTTATCCACTGAAATCACTTAAGGTGAGTTCATACCCCTACATTTTCATGTTTTCTCAAGTTTTCAGGGGGGAATACAAGTTAAAACACTAAGAACATAACTAAATTTTTCTAACAGCCTTCATCAGAAAAGTTCAACTCCATTCACGGACTGTTTTGGGCATCTTAAACATTTTTGTTTTCAAAACTGTACAAGGTGCAAATAGTTCAAGTTTTAGCTTTAAAATGGCTACTTGCACATCTCCATACGATTTTTCTACAATTTATGGTGATTTTTACAAAACTGCCTATCATTTCAAACAACAATCCGGACCAGTCTGTGATTTGGACTTTTTCACCCAAGTTGAGGTCATTATAAATTGTGATAAAAATTATGAGCAAACTAGACACATTTTGTGAACTCTCAGAATTTACGGATCTAGTTTTCGACTTCGTATGATTTTTCTATGATTTTTCCAAAAAGGGCAGAATTGCTAAATTTTGCCAACAGCATGTAAATATCATAACACTTTGTATTATGTTGAGCAAAGTGTGTAATCATAAGTTCTAATTTTGAATGTGTTTCTTTGCTAGTTTATCATTATGAACTGAAACTAAGTCATTCATATTAAATATTATTCATTCATTTAGAACACGTATTATGTAACTATAAAAAGTATAGTTGATAAATTCACAACACTAATACATTTCCATAAAAGAATTCATACATATTAGATACATTTTAGATAAACTATAATAGGTATAGTTTGTGATACATCACTCAACACACTCTATACAAAAAGGGGTACAAATACAAAGTACCGGGTCTCTATATAAAAAAGGGGTACAAATACAAAGTACCGGGTCTCTATACAAAAAGGGGTACAAATACAAAGTACCGGGTCTCTATACAAAAAGGGGTACAAATACAAAGTACCGGGTCTCTATACAAAAAGGGGTACAAATACAAAGTACCGGGTCTCTATACAAAAAGGGGTACAAATACAAAGTGCCGGGTCTCTATACAAAGTTATTATGATATTAAAATTACTTCCTCTAGAATTATTAGACTTCAACTATAATCGCTGAGCGTACATGTTTGAGTCCTATAAGAATTTTGTCTTGATTGGCCTAGAATTGGTGGTGCCCGCCTCATTCCCTGTTCCTCATTGGGTTGTGGACCTAGGGCAGACCCACTATATTCAACGTTTTATCTAATTTAAACCTTATATAACTTTTATACGCTGGACGATTATAGAGGAACTCTACGGGTTACTCTAGGGTTCATTAATGCATCATGTAGGAATATTTCTATTCACACTTAACTAAGAAAATATTGGATTTTCTGGAAATCAAACTATTTTTCATCTAAAATTGTTAGACTTCAACTATAGTCGCTGAGCGTATATGTTTGAGTCATATAAGAATTTAGTCTTGATTGGCCTAGAATTGGTGGTGCCCGCCTCATCTCCTGTTCCTCGTTGGGTTGTGGACCTAGGGCAGACCCACTATATTCAACGTTTTATCTAATTTAAATCTTATATAACTTATATACAATGGACGATTATAGAGGAACTCTACGGGTCATTCTAGGGTTCATTAATGCATCATATAGGAATATTTCTATTCACACTTAACTAAGAAAATATTGGATTTTCTGGAAATCAAACTATATCGATTTTACAAGGAAAAACGGTTTCTACTTCAAACAAAACTCTTATGAACTCACCAACCTTTGTGTTGACACTTTTTAAAACTACTTGTATTCTCAGGAAATCAGTGAAACAGGAAAACTTCATCGCTTTGAGGATGGGACGTTAAACCGTCATCAATTTATTTTGTCATCATAATGTAATTGCTTTTGAAAGATATAAACATATACTTTGGTGTAACTTTTGCAATTATATATATCGTGGTTGTTTTTACTTTGAGCACTATTATACACGTTGTTGTGATACTGTACATGAAGTCCTCCACCCCCAGACGTTTCCGCCATCCTTGGTTTGGGGGTGTGACAAGAACCCTGTGAATAGTTTAGTACTAGTTTGTGAGTTAGTCACTACCCTTTATGGATGATCAGTAATTCCTCCCCGGAAGTGTAACCAGAGTCTCCTGGAGGGAGAGCGAGGAATTTGTGAATAGATCTATTCGGGACTGACAATCCCACACCTTAACTGCTAGCTATAGTTAGGCGGGCACGCCTGGGGTGACAAATTCTGGATATCATCCGAAGTCTGACAAGCGTCAAGGAGGTCTGGTTGTCGTATCAGCATGGTTACCCGACTCACAACACGTATTAATATAAGTTTATTCACGACTTGGTTATGGATTTGATTTTATATCAATCTTCTATCTATAGATCTTATATCTAGTTCGGGGCGGTAATCCCATGGTTTTTAGTCTATAGGGTTCATATCTATTTCAGGATGTTATTCCTATGGTTAGAATCTATATCTAGTTCGGGATAGTGATCCTATGATTTTCTCAAACAATCTTATATCTAGTCGGGATAGTGATCCCATGATTTTGATCAAACTATCTTATATCTATTTCGGGATAGTAATCCCATGGTTTTATCAAACTATTTTGTATCTAGTCCGGGATAGTAGTCCCATGGTTTGCAGTCTATATTTTCAAGTATATCAAACTATCTTGTATCTAGTTCGGGATATTAGTCCCAAGGTTTTCAAACTACTTTTTATCTACAGTTCGTGTATATTAAAGTATTTTATATCTAATTCGGGATAGTATCCCATGATTCTCAATATATAGTTTTGTGTATTAAACTATACTCTGTGTTATTCAATCAATCTTGCATTTAGGAAAATATGGGATTTTCTTGGGGTTAACATATAACGCGTAATTAAACTGTAATGAAGGATAACTAAACTGTTTAACATAAGAAAATATGGGATTTTCTTGGATAACAAACCTTTTCGGAAAACTAAAGGAAACTGGTACATTTTCAGAAAACAAACATCTTATGAACTCACCAACTTTATGCTGATTTTCAAACCGCTTGTATTCTCAGGTCCAAGTTAGATAGGTACCCGAGGATATCTTTTGGTGAAGACGGAGAGCTTAGAAGACTCGTCTCAACTTTTGTTCATATGATATATGTATAACACTTGTATAATTTACTTTTGAAACAAATGTAAACTTTCAAATATATGTAATGTAATGGTTGTTTACTTTACTTACTATGTGCATTGGATTTGATATTCAACGTGGAGTCCGCCCCGGAAATGTTTCCGCCTTCGGTTTTCGGGGTGTGACAAGTAGTTTCAGACTGCGGTCCGATGCAGTAGTTCAGTATGCTTGATGTCTTTGTGATACGTGCATGTTATGTGTTATGTGTTCCGGACTAGGGTCCGATGCATTATTTATGTTTATGTGATATGCTTTGATTCTGTTATGATATGATCAGTCAGTTTCAGACTTCGGTCCGATGCAGTGGGCAAGGCCCTAGTTAGTTCCGGAAATCGGTCCGATGCAGTTCCGGACTTCGGTCCGATACAGTTGGCAATGCCATAGTTAGTTTTAGACTTCGGTCCGATGCAATTCCGGACATCGGTTCGATGCAGTGGGCGAGACCCTAGTTAGTTCCGGATTTCGGTCCAATGCAGTGGGAAGGCCTAGTATGTGCCTATATGTTATTGTATGTTATGTGGTAGTTTGGGGGAAATCTCTAAGCATCGTGCTTACAATTTCGGTTTTTGGTTTCAGGTATTTCAGCTAGCAAATTCGGACTGATGGCATGACACATATCACAATTAGCGTGGGAGATAGACTCTGATATTTTGATATGATTTGACACTAGTTCGATTTGATAAATTTATTACGACATTTTGAGATACACGAGTCAGTTTTTATCTTTTAATATTTGATATTATGGTTTAGTAAAGTTTTCAACAAAAATTTTTAGATGGTATTTTTGGGATGTTACAATTTTTGTTGGAACGACCTTCTAATTAGAAACTTCTAGTAACACATCTAGCCCCAACTTATACTAGCCGTAATAAAAATTGAATGTTATAGTTTAACTAGTTAGAAGATTTAATTTAATTATAAACCCAAGATAAACTCTTTAACCAAATCTTAGCTTTTAAGTTATCCCTTTACAGAATCGCCAATTGGTCTTTATTAAACAATTATTTTACAAAATTATTCAACGCAAGTGCCAAGTGGTATTTAACAGAATCGCCAATTGGTCTTTATTAAACAATTATTTTACAAAATTATTCAACGCAAGTGCCAAGTGGTATTTAAAATTTTAAATATCTCTCGTTGTCTATATTCAAACTCTTGTATTATTATACTCTCTTCAACCCCTGATAACCACAGTCGAGAATAAAAAGAAAACACTATTCAGAATTCGAAATCTCATAAAGTCGCCATTGTTTACTCTATACCTTGATCCCCAAGATCGTATCCCTAACCTCATATAATCCCCATAAAGTAGTCAGAAAGAGTGAACAACCTGCAATCTATACACGATGCATACCATAAACGCAGTACAGTTGATACGAATGGCGACGAGTCCCAGTAGCAATTCCATGTTAGGAGCAGAGATTGAATTCGGATCAGCGATGTTCTACGTTTACGTTGGCATCTCGTGTTTTCTAGTCATCTTTGCCGGAATCATGTCCGGCCTTACCTTAGGATTGATGTCTCTTGGCCTCGTCGAGCTCGAAATCCTCCAGCGCAGTGGCACTCCTGTCGAGAAAGAACAAGCAGGTTTTTCATATATTAGATCGCACTTAATTCTTGAATTTATGTTTCCTTGTTCCAATTTCTTGATGCTTTTTTTGACAACTCTATTTGGGGACCCAATTTTGTATATGGATTCAATTTAATTTGTAAAAGAAGGTTTTGACTTTTCACTAGGATCAATCTCTACACGGATCACATTACCTATGAATGTATTCAAATATAGTTTCAATTTCATGTTTAAAAAATAATAATAATAATAATAATAATAATAATAATAATAATAATAAGCATTTATGATTTTTTTTTTTAAAGATTGCCAAAAAATGTAAAACCTATCTTGACCTCTCATCATGGTTTTTTGCGACGTTATTTTTTTTCAGCTATTATTTTTCCAGTGGTTCAGAAACAGCACCAACTTCTTGTAACGTTGCTTTTATGCAATGCAGCTTCCATGGAGGTAATGTATTAAGGTTTAAATGGTTATTGTAGAATTAAATCAATCCCTTTTCTCAAAAGATGTGGCACGTTAATTGAACATTTATCAAAATCCAAGTTTTTAAACAAGTAAATCCTTTAATGATATACACGCATAATTTATTTATTTATTTATTTATTAACGACTGTTATATTTTTCACAAATCACAAGATCGTTTTTGGTTTATTTTAGCTATTGCAAATCCACAGGCCCTGCCAATATATCTGGACAAGATTTTCAATCAAGTTGTTGCGATAGTTCTTTCGGTAACTTTTGTCCTGTTTTTTGGAGAGGTAACTTTTTTTTTTTTTTTTTTTTTTTTTTTTTTTTTTAATTATTATTATTATTATTATTTTGTTCTTCATGAATCATTTATATGTATGAGTTTTTTTTACCATTTATTTTTGACACGATGCATACATATAAATGATTCCACAAGCAGTGTGTACAAGATATGGACTGGCTATAGGTTCTAGTTTTATCTGGCTTGTGCGTATTTTGATGATAATTTGCTATCCTATTGCGTACCCTATAGGCAAGGTAAATTTAATTATGCGCTAAATACAAGAAATAACAATTTACTTTCATTATAGCTTCCTACTATTAAATCATTTTCTAGTTTTATTTATTAAAATACTTCAGCTTGTTTTGTGATTCCAGATGCTTGATTTGGTATTGGGACATAATGATGCTTTATTCAGAAGAGCTCAGTTGAAAGCCCTTGTTTCCATCCATGGCCAAGAGGTTATTTCTAATCTCTCTCTTTTTTTTCTTTTTTGTTTATTTATTATTTTTATTATTTTTAATTTTTATATCCTTATGTGTATATGCATTTTGTGCAATCAATAACATTCTGATTTGCAGGCAGGTAAAGGTGGCGAACTCACTCATGATGAGACCACAATTATCAGTGGAGCACTTGATTTAACTGAAAAGGTATCAAATAAAATAATCTTTCAATTTTTATAACATTGCGTTTTGTTGATTTTAAATTTGCCAGTTTGAAATCTTGTTATCTTTCATGTATATCTCCATGCCTTTTTCTTCACTTTCTTATATTTATGGTGTGAATTATTACTCTTTCAACGATGGAGAAGTGATCGATTCCTCCGGTTTTTCTCTTTCTTCATTTTCTAATTTTTAAGATGTAAATTTTATTACTTTCTTTTCGATGGAGAATTTCTCAAAGTATTGATTTATCAAATCTGATCAGACTGCAGAGGAGGCTATGACACCAATCGAGTCAACTTTTTCCTTGGATGTGAACTCAAAGTTAGATTGGTGAGTATTGTTCATCTACATTATTATATTTGTTTCTTATTAGTTATCAATTGGTCTTCTTTTGACAATTATTAACCTTGCACTAAAAGGGCAGCAGGTTTTTTATTTTATTTTTTTCTTTTTTATTTTTCTCTAAATACATTTCCTAATGTTAGCTTGAGGTCTACATGGGATAAAGTGAATCGGTCAAATTAGAAAATAGAGTAAATTACACAAATGGTCCTTATGGTTTAGGGTAATTTGTGCGTTTGGTTCCTAACTTATTTTTTTAATCGGAAGGTCTTTAGTGTTTGTTTTTGTTATGCGCTTGGTCCCTGTCTTACCTAAAAATACTGTTTTGCAATTGATTTTTTAATTTATTTAAATAAGCACAACCCTAATCCCACCTCTGTCACCTTACCTTACCTACCCCGCAATATTCCATATTTAAATACTAGTCTTTTTAGGCATGCAGGGAGCAAGTGTGTAACAAAAATAAATAGTAGGGATCAAGCGCGTAACAAAAAAAAACAATATGGACCTTCCGAATTTAAAAAATAAGTTAGGGACTAAGCCCGCAAATTACCCCAAACCATAGGGACCATTCATGTAATTTGTTTAATACTAGAATGTTCTCCATGTTCAACATATTTTGTTTATGTTAATAACACCTTCCATAAACAATAAAACATAACATTTTATATGAATAGGACAACAAATGCATCCAAAAAAGATGAGATGGTGACTCACTCTCGATCTCTAGTCTGTGCAAAAGATGTGAATGCCCTCATCCTCATCATCGAAAAGATCCCCAAAGGTTTAGTTGTGTAGCTAATAAATTTTATAGAATTGTATCGTACTTCTTGTTAGCTTTTAGCAAAGACAAAACACCTTTTGATACAACAGGTTTCAAGTAGAGCAAGTTTTGGAAGAAAGAGTAACTGACACACAAAAGTGTTTTCTGCATACATCAAAAGTAACTATTAACCAAAATATACACCTTCTGTATATTTCCGATCTTATATTTACTGTGTAATTAATGTAAATTAGTACTTCCTTATTTAGCCTAGATTTTCCCCAATTTCCTCCTGTAATCTCTCTATACATTGGGTATTTAATCCCCTCCTTTATCAGTGAAAGGCATCGATTCTTTTGTAATTATATGGTATCAGAGCCAAGTGCTCCTTACCCCAAAATCTCTCCCTGCCGTCTCAGCTACAGCTGGACATCTTTACTTTGTTTCTGATCATCCTCTCTATTCACGATGTCAGACAATCAAGACCCAACTCCTGTCAAATCTCTCCATCCCGTCTACACGGTCACGAACATACAGAACAAGATTCGCACCCTTGATGGTACCAAGGTATCATACTCTTCATGGGTTCGCTTGTTCAAACTTCATGCTAGAGGTTACAGAGTCCTTACCCATATCGATGGTTCCGACCCTCCATCCAAGATTGACCCGACCTATGAAAACTGGTCAGAGATTGATGCCATCGTCCTCCAATGGATTTATGGAACGATTTCAGATGATCTCCTTGCGCGAGTACTTGAACCGGACTCTACAGCATATGAAGCCTGGTTCAAAATTCAGAATATCTTCCTCAACAACAAAGGATCTCGTGCTGCTGCTCTTGAACACGAGTTCACAAACCTTACCCTTCGAGCAATGTCGTCCCTTGAAGCTTATTGCCAACGTCTCAAAGATTTGGCAAGTCAACTGAATGACGTCGATTGCCCTGTCAACGAGAAACGTTTGGTTCTTCAACTTATCCATGGGTTGCCATCTGAATTTGACACAGTCGGCGCCTACATCAATCAAACCCTACCTCCATGGGATACTGCGTGCTCCATGCTTCAACTTGAAACCCAGCGACAACGTGCTCGAGACTCGCACTCATCCATAGAGATCGTTGCTGCTGTTGAACACAACCCACCAGCAAACTCTAGTTCCCGACGTGGCGAATCTGGAAACAGAGGCCGCCCTAACCAGCAGCGCAACACAAATCGTCGAGCACCTGTCTCTGCATCTCCTTCTCGACCTGGTTATACGTCTTCTGGTCGGACAACACAAACCCAGTCAAATAATCGCAGAAGCCCTATGTCCAATCAAACACGCCCTACCTGGGCCGGATACCCACCATCATTCTGGGCCCACCCATATTGGGCTTCACCACCACCTTGTCCATATCCCACTCAAGTTGGATGGGCTTCTCCCTGGCCTACCTCTTCTGCCCAGCAGCAACCACGACACCCACCAGTTGAAGCCAATCTTACAGAAGTAAACCCACTTGAACCTTCGGAACTCGGGACTGCCTTTTCAGCTATGACTCTGGACCAAGAAAATGATTGGTACATGGACACCGGATCTACATCTCATCTCACAGCCAACGAAGGTAAAATCTCGGTCCATAGTTTGTCTTTTATTAAATCTGTGTTTGTAGCAAATGGAAATCAAGTACCAGTTATTGGATCAGGTCATACAACATTACCCCATCCATCCAAACCTATTCATCTGAAAGATATACTCCACACACCTCATACCGTTAAAGACCTTATATCCGTTCGTAAATTTTGTCGTGATAATTCATTTTCTGTTGAATTTGACTCCTTTGGTTTTTCTATAAAGGATTACAAGACCAAGAAGCACCTCTCTAGACACGAAAGCTCTGGCGATCTCTACCCCTTCACCAAACAAGTCAACGCTCCAGCTTCATCCTTTTATGTTTCTTCTAGTTCGCCTCTTTGGCATTTTAGACTCGGTCATCCGGGTCATCATGTAATAAATTTTCTGAGTCAAAATAAAAATATTTCTTGCAATAAAAATGATCGTTTATCAGTTTGTCATTCTTGCCAACTTGCTAAACACAAACGCCTACCATTCAAACATTCCACATCTTTTACTCTCAAACCATTTGATCTAGTTCACGCTGACCTTTGGACCTCACCCATCCACAGCAAAACTAATTTTAAATACTACCTCATCATCATTGGCGATTTCAGCCATTTTACATGGGTGTTTCCCTTAAAATACAAATCAGAAACTTTTCCCAAAATCAAAGCCTTCTACAAATATATCCACACTCAATTCAATATCAACCTCAAAACCTTCCAATGTGACAAGGGCGGTGAATTCGACAATCACCACTTCCATAATTTCGCTTCCACCACCGGTCTTCACATTCGATTCTCGTGCCCACACACCTCTCAACAAAATGGCACAGCAGAACGAATGATCCGTCGCATAAACGAAATCATGTTGTCCTTACTTACCCATGCTTCTTTACCACCTTCCTTTTGGGTCGAGGCCCTTCATACCGCTACCTACTTGCACAACATACTTCCTACTCCATTACTTGACAACCGAACTCCTACCTCCGTCCTCTACCTCAAACATCCAACTTACGACCACCTACGAACCTTTGGTTGTGCCTGCTTTCCCAACCTAACCGCCACCCGCAAACACAAACTCGCACCTCGGTCTACACCTTGTCTTTTTCTAGGTTACCCAGCCCAATACCGAGGATATAGATGCCTTGACATGTCCACGGGTAAAGTCATTCTCTCCCGACATGTAACCTTTGATGAAACTTCTTTTCCTTATGCATCTGACACACTAAACCCACCACACAATTACTCTTTCCTTGAAACAGAACCCTCTCCTCTCCTCTTCCACCCAGCAACCACATCAATCTCCGCTCCCACCGAAACCACTTTTTCCTCTGCCTCTTCCAACCAAACCCCCGACACTACTTCGTCCCCACCTACCCCTGCCCCACCCTCATACTACCCATTTACTTACTCCCGGCGAACCCAACCAACCCCTCCACCTCCGCCACCCCCACCTACATCCTGTCATCCCATGACCACCCGCTCCAAAGCTGGAATCACCAAACCAAACCCACCACTCAACCTTCACACCAACACCAACACCAACACCTCCACCATTTCACCTCTTCCCAAATCCCACAAACATGCCCTATCTAATCCAAACTGGTACTCCGCCATGATCGATGAACATAGAGCTCTAATAGATAACAACACATGGGAACTTGTACCTCGTCCCCCCCGAGGCTCATGTCATACGTTGTATGTGGATATACCGGCATAAATTTCATGCAAACGGGACTCTTGCACGATATAAAGCACGCTTAGTCGTTAATGGAAAATGCCAACAAGTCGGAGTCGACTGCAATGAAACATTCAGTCCCGTAGTAAAACCTTCCACAATCCGTACAGTTCTTAGTCTTGCCGTTTCCCGATCATGGCCTATACACCAACTAGATGTAAAGAATGCATTCTTACATGGGAATCTCAACGAGACTCTGTATATGTTCCAACCCCCTGGTTTCACGGACACACAACACCCAACACATGTTTGTCGGTTACGAAAATCTTTATACGGGCTTAAACAAGCCCCGAGAGCTTGGTATCATCGCTTTGCAACATTCATTCACACATGTGGTTTTAAAAGCACCAAAAGTGATACCTCTCTTTTTGTCTTCCAACGAGGCACAAAAATGGCATATCTTCTTCTTTATGTGGATGACATCGTCTTGACCGCTTCTGATGACACAACTCTTCGACACTTCATCACTCTATTATCCAAAGAGTTTGCTATGTCGGACCTTGGGCCTCTTCATCACTTCCTCGGCATCCAAGTGAAACATCAAAATGGAGGATTATTTCTTACCCAAGAACAATATGTGGATGATATTCTTCACCGGGCGAACATGCAACAATGTAAACCTTGTGCCACTCCTGTTGACACTAACTCTAAACTCAGCACAACTGTCAGCGACCTAATGCAAGACACGACTCTATATCGCAGCCTCGCAGGAGCATTACAGTACTTAACCTTCACTCGCCCCGACATTGCGTATGCTGTCCAACAAGTATGCCTCTTTATGCATGCCCCTCGCGATCCACATTTTAACTTTCTGAAACGTATTCTACGATACCTCCAAGGCACCCGTCATCATGGACTCCATATTTCTCCCTCCAAATCTACAAAACTCACTGCATACTCCGACGCAGATTGGGGGGGATGTCCCGACTCTCGACGGTCCACATCCGGCTATTGTGTATTTCTCGGTGATAATCTCATTTCATGGTCGTCCAAACGACAACCAACTATCTCCCGGTCTAGTGCCGAAGCCGAGTACAAAGGCGTTGCCAACGCCGCAGCTGAAACTACATGGCTACGCAACTTACTCCTCGAGCTCCATCTTCCGCTTCGCCAGGCAACGATTATTTATTGTGACAACATTTCAGCTGTATATCTTACTCAAAACCCGGTTCAGCACCAACGCACGAAGCATATTGAGATTGACATCCATTTCGTTCGCGAAAATGTTCGCATGGGTTCCCTTCGCGTTCTACATGTCCCTGCTGATTACCAATACGCAGATATATTTACCAAGGGATTACCCCGTCAGCTATTCACCCGCTTCCGTTCCAGTCTCTCTATTCGGCCAGCCAACCATTCGACTGTGGGGGAGTATTAACCAAAATATACACCTTCTGTATATTTCCGATCTTATATTTACTGTGTAATTAATGTAAATTAGTACTTCCTTATTTAGCCTAGATTTTCCCCAATTTCCTCCTGTAATCTCTCTGTACATTGGGTATTTAATCCCCTCCTTTATCAGTGAAAGGCATCGATTCTTTTGTAATTATAGTAACGAAAGCTACATAGCATAAAAACAGAAGTAAAACTGAAAAAGAAAACTGCTGCTACCTAGAAAACAAGAATAAGGCTATGAAAACAAACTACCCACTAGCTTGACTAATTCAACAAAGCAATTACTAAAACATAAAGAAAATAACTGAAGAATAACAGAAGGCTTGCATGTGACTGGTTGACCAAGTTGATATTGTTCTCTTTTAACATTCCCTCTCAACATCAACTTCTACCATACCCATCTTGTCACCAAACTCAACCAGTTTTGCACTTGATAAACTCTTTGTGAGCAGGTCTGCAATCTGATCAGCAGTGTTTACATATTTAAGGTCAATTTCCCCTTTTAAGACCTTTCCTCTGATAAAATGATAATGAACTTCAATGTGCTTGGTGCGTGCATGAAAAGTAGGATTCTGAGCAAGCTTAATTGATGACATATTATCACAAAGCAGCGGAATACTATAGTTAACCTCTTGGTTCAAATCCTTTAAAAGTTGCACAAGCCACACACATTCCTGAGATGCTACTGCAGCAGCTCTATATTCGGCTTCAGTTGTAGAAAGAGAGACTGTGGGTTGACGCTTGCTACACCAAGATACTATACTGGATCCAAGCATGAAGATATAACCTGTAGTTGACCTTCGAGTGTTCAAATCACCAGCATAATCAGCATCACAAAATCCCATCAGCTTACATTCAGATTCCCTCTTAAACTGGATTCCATAATTGAAAGTAGTCTTAATATACCTTAATACCCTTCTAGCAGCCCCAAGGTGGGGGTTTCTTGGACTCTGCATGTAACGACTTAAAACACCAACTACAAATGCAATGTCTGGTCTAGTTAAAGTGAGATATATAAGACTACCCACCAACTTTCTATATATTCTTGTATCATCTAACTCCTTACCCATGTTAGCACACAACTTAGCATTGTTATCCATGGGTGTTACAGCTCCCTTGCAATCAACCATTTTGAACCTCTTTAATAGATCAGTACAGTACTTATGTTGGTGTAGAATTAAACCATCATCATCATAGTTGATTTCTAACCCCAGAAAGTGTTTCAATTTCCCTAGGTCCTTCATGAAGAACCGAGTGCACAAGTTCTGTTTGAGCTGAGCTATCATGTCATCCAAATCACCTGTAATTATTAAGTCACCAACATATACAAGCACCATCACTACTTTGCTTCCAAATTTCTTCACAAACAGGCTAGCATCTGCAGATGTACTTGTGTATCCATTGTGTTCAAGAAATTCACCAATTTTCCCAAACCACGCCCTTGGAGACTGTTTAAGCCCGTACAACGCCTTCTTGAGCTTACATACATAATTAGGATGTTGTTTGCTTTTAAATCCAAGGGGTTGTTCCATGTGAATGACATGATCCAAGTTTCCATATAGGAATGCATTATTTACATCCATTTGCCAAAGTTTCCATCCATTGCTAGCTGCCAAAGGCAATAGAACCCTGATTGTAGTTAACTTCGCCACTGGGCTAAAAGTGTCCTCGTAGTCCAGCCCATATTGCTGTGAGAAGCCATGAGCTACCAACCGGGCCTTAAATCTTTCGACTGACCCATCTGCATTACGTTTCACTTTATACACCCATTTACACGAGATGGGTTTCACTTCAGTAGGTTTTGGAACTAGTTCCCACGTCTGGTTCCTCATTAAAGCAGCTACTTCTTCTTCCATTGCTATAACCCATTCTCGTTTAGTGGCAGCTTGATCATAAGTTTCTGGTTCAAACACATCTTCTTTTACTAAAGCAGCATTGGCATATCTGGGATTAGGTTTTCTAAGTCTTGTAGACTTTCTGACACTTGTGGCTTCATGGTTCTCATTATCATTGTTGATTTCATTGTTAGCATTGTCTTGGATATCTTCATTATCAATAATGACTTCGTCATTATTCAGGTGTACTCTTACTTTAGAGGATTCTACTTCATCTCTTAGGGTTTTAGAATCAGGAAGAGCTTTGTGATCAGTTGACCACCATGATGAAGTTTCATCAAATTCCACATTCCTTGATACATAGCATCTACCAGAGGTAGGGTCACAACACTTCCAACCCTTCCTTTCCTGGTCATAACCCACAAAGATACACCGAACAACCTTCTTATCCATCTTGCTGCGTAGATGGTTGGGTATGAACACATAACACACACACCCAAAGACACGAAGATGACTAACATTTGGCTTCAACCTCTTAAGCTTCTCAAAGGGAGACAAATAACCAAGACTTTGTTGAGGAATTCGGTTTATCACATAAGTTGCTGTCTTCATAGCTTCTGCCCAAAACTGACCTGGTACATTCTTGTCATGAATCATGCTTCTACAGATCTCGCCCAGGTTTCTATTCTTTCTTTCGGATACTCTATTCTGTTGCGGAGTGTTTTGGACATGTAAGTTGACGCTTGATCTTGTGTACTTTAAGAAAGTCACTGAATTCAGAGGTCAGATATTCCCCACCATTATCTGATCTTAAGCCACCAATATTATACTCAGTCTCTCTTTCAACTTCATTTTTGAATTCTTGAAACTTGGAGAACACTTCAGACTTCTCCTTCATGAAATACACCCATACGTATCTTGTATAATCATTTATAAAGGTCACCATGTATTTCAAACCTTTGATAGACGGTTTCTTAACAGGTCCAAATACATCAGAATGTACAAGTTCTAGAGGCAACTTAGACTTGTACTTTGAGTGTTCGAATGGTTGTTGATGAGCCTTTCCAAATTGACACCCGGCACATACTAAACCCTTTTTGACTTCAAGTTGAGGGAGACCTTTCACCATTTGCTTTTTGATCATCAAATCAAGCTTGTCATAGCTAACATGACTCAACCGCATGTGCCAAAGATCCACATTTTCATTCCTTTTTGTCTTCTCTACATAAGCTGTTTCGGCAGACATCACATAAATTGAGTCTGATCTTCGTCCCTTTAGAATTGGCTTTGATGGAGTCACAAATTCTTTGTAAATCTTCACATCATCAGGGCCAAACAACACAGAGTGGCCAGCAGAAGCAAGTTGAGAAACAGAAAGAAGATTCTTTTCCATACCTGGTACATGGTACACACCTTCAAGTTTTAGTTCTCTGTTATTGTCTTCTGGGCAAAACACAACATTACCAATGTGAGCAATCGACAACTTTGAATTATCAGCTATCAATACTACTTTACTGCCTTCATAATTTCTGGATTCTTGCAACTTTTCATGCTCTCCAGTCATGTGATTAGAGCATCCAGAATCTACTATCCATTCTTTAAATTTGTTGCCACGACTCTCTATTGTTGCGTTAAATGCCACCTCTTCTTGGTCTTGAGCATAAAAAGCTTCTGCATCCCATGTTTCTTCTACTTGAGAAGTTGCAGCATTTCCTTCCTCAATGTTTTCTGAACGACATTCACGTGCCATGTGACCCCTACACCCACAATTATTACACCTGAAAGGGAATCTTTTGTGGGAACGGTTACTCTTTGTCTTATCTTCAGACGATTCTCCTTTATCAAACTTGCAACTCGTCTTTCTTTGTTCATGGTGTTTACTCTTGTCTGACTTCTTTTTAGACTGTGATTTATACTTCCCTTTACTTTTCTCTGCGTAAAGTGCTTCATCATCAGTCCTAACCGTGGCACCTCCCATCTGCTTCACTAAGGCTTCCTATCCTGCCAAGAGATTCTCAAACTCAACTAGTGAGGGTTGAGTTGCCCAACCTTGAATTGCAGTTACGAAGCTTCTAAACTCTGGTTTGAGACCATGTATAATGATCCTTTTCATCCTCGTCTCACTGATTTGAGACTGAGGATCAAGCTCCATAATTTCTCTACAAGTAGACTTCACCTTGTGGAAGAACTGAGGAATTGTCATGTCTCGTTGAGACACAGACAAGAGTTCATTCTCGAGTAACTGTAGCTTTGTATCGTTCTTCTTAGAGAATAGGGCTAACAACGTATCCCATGCCTCTTTTGGTGTTGACATATCCCTGATATGTTCGAGTATATCTTCTTCGACGGTTGTCTTTAAGACGAACATTGCCTTGCCTGCCTTGATCTTCCACTTTCGTAGGTTTCCATTGTTATCTTCTGCCTCAGGTTGTTTTGTTTCGGTCCCTTTCACAACTTCCCACAGATCCTGTCCTTGCATATAAGACATGATGCAAGTTGACCATGTGTTATAGTTCTGATTGTTAAGCTTCTTTACTCCACCAACAACTTGTAAATCAGCCATTGACAACGAGGCTCTGATACCACTTTGTTAGCTTTTAGCAAAGACATAACACCTTTTGATACAACAGGTTTCAACCAGAGCAAGTTTTGGAAGAAAGAGTAACTGACACACAAAAGTGTTTTCTGTATACATCAAAAGTAACGAAAGCTATATAGCATAAAAACAGAAGTAAAACTGAAAAAGAAAACTGCTGCTACCTAGAAAACAGGAATAAGGCTATGAAAACAAACTACCCACTAGCTTGACTAATTCAACAAAGCAATTACTGAAACATAAAGAAAATAACTGAAGAATAACAGAAGGCTTGCACGTGACTGGTTGACCAAGTTGATATTGTTCTCTTTTAACACTTCTTACTATTTTTTCTTTTCAATATCTCTTAGGGAAGCATTGAGAGAGATTCTTGCAAGAGGTCATAGTAGAGTTCCTGTACACTCTGAAAACCCAAAAAATGTTATTGGACTTCTATTGGTAACTTTTCACTACTGTTGTTTAGACTTTAGATAAAGAATATGTATTTACTTTCTACAAGTTTTTATAGAAATAAACAAAAATAACACATAAATTAAACTACATTGGTGTCTCCTAATTCAATTCTTGTTGAGATGTAGGTGAAAAGTCTTCTTACTGTTCGACCAGAAACAGAGACTCCAGTAAGTGCAGTTTCCATTAGAAGAATCCCAAGGTTTGCTTTTCTTCTGTTTCAATTTTCACTTGATGCTTTGTATATTTTTATCAATCAATAGATTATTTTTTCAAAGGGTTCCAGCTGACATGCCACTATATGACATACTGAATGAGTTCCAAAAGGGAAGCAGTCATATGGCAGCTGTAGTAAAAAGTAAAGGGAAAAACCAAAAACAAACAATACTTGAAGAAGAACCAAAACAGAGTGATAATGTAACAATTGATGTGGAAACAAGAGTTTTGGCTAATAAGGACATTGAAGAAGGTGAAGTGATTGGTATAATCACTTTAGAAGATGTATTCGAGGAACTTCTTCAGGTTCTTTTCCTTCCCTTACCTATAATTTGCACGCTTAATAATAATAACAATACCCATGTGTAGTGTCTTTTTAAAACAAATTTTACAAGGGTTAAATGCAAAAAAAAAACAACGTATTTTAATTCATTTGATAAGAAAAAAGTTGAAAGTACAATGTTGTAATAGAAAGAAACTAAAGTGTGATGATCTTTTGGTAATTGTTTCTACCAATGCAGGAGGAGATTGTAGATGAGACTGATGAATTTGTTGATGTGCATAAAAGGTGCATTAAATTTATAGAATTATAATATATTATTCTGTTTTAAACGAAAAAAAAAAAAAAAAAAAAAACTAATATTTGCTTTCCACAGGATACGCGTAGCAGCAGCTGCAGCTACTTCATATGTAGCATGTGCTCCCTCATTTCGGAGATTATCTGCTATTGCTGTAAGAAATCATCTTCTTTGCAATAATCTAAAATTATAGATTAATAATAATAATAATAATAATAATAATAATAATAATAATAATAATAATAATAGTAAGGGTTATTTACAAGAAATAGCAATGTTATTTAGTTGATTTGTCATTTGTTTATTGTAGCATTGCCATGCCTTAATGTGACAAATTAGAAGAGTGATCTTGTAATAAAATGAAATGAAAGTAGAATGCTATAATCAACAAATAAGTGCACGTATATTGCTATTTCTTAAATTTAGCACTAATCTTTTGCTATACATACGTTCTTATATATTTATATTCATGCTGTTGGTTAAACCTGAATTTGCTGATATAAATACATCAGGGAGCCCAAAATAAGCAAGGGCAAACTCAGAAGAAGCCTGGAGAGGGTGATTCAACTTCATCAAAGTTGCAACAGGCTCTCGTGGAGCCTTTGCTTCAAAAACAGACATAAAATGGTCAATTTCTCAAAGCCACTTCAAGATGGTTTTTGTGTGTATGTGTGTGTGTCTATATATATGTCATTAGCCACGTATGGTTAAAAACTATAATAAAGGTGTGAAATTTGTTGTGGATGTGTACGAACGAAATACTCGTTGTTTACACCATTTTTTTCCGGCTGTAGGGGCATAAGTTGAGTTAGGAAGGTAGAATGGACTCACCTTACACACTATGTGAGCATTACATGGCCTCTACAGATTGTTATTTACCTTTTTAATTTTTATATTCTTAATAACAAGCTTGTGTATATATATATATATATATATATATATATATATATATATATATATATATATATATATATGTTCTGGTGAGGATTCTTTTTCTGGAAAGGACTCGTGAGGGCACCTTAAAATAATTAAAAGAAATTTACAAATCATAAAATTGAGCATAATACCAATGTTCATTGATACCTGACAATAAATTGTCTAATTTTTAAGGGAAATCTCGAATAAAGTCCTACAATTTTGGTCCGGTTTACGTTTTAGTTCTAAACTAATTTTTGTTTACGAAAAAGTCCTAAAAACCGGCAAAAGTATGCATTTTGACCCCTTTTGATCGGTTGGAACCGGCAACAAATTAATTTGGGATTATTTCATAAACTAACCTAAAATATTAGGACTATTTCACAAAATGACCTAAAATATTGGGATTTTTTCTGCAAAAAAAATATGAGGACTTTTCTGCAAACAAAAACCATATTATTATTATTATTATTATTATTATTATTATTATTATTATTATTATTATTAACAAGTATACTGATTTTTAAATTTATTATTATTAATATTTTTAATAATACATATAAATACACTTAAATAAAAATATATTAAAGAAATTATTTAAAGGTGAAGGTGGTGGTGATGGTAATGCTTTAAGCATTGAAATCACTGCTTGTATGTTCTCACTTTGTATATGATCATTTCAAATTTCTTATTATTGTTTTCAATTCAAAATATTAACACTTAACAATTTAAAAGAAGTTGTCTATTTATAAAATTATGTATAAATAGTTTAAGATAAAAGGATTTCTCAATTTGTATATAAAATTTCTTAAGGTAGAATGATTTCTTTTCAAATCCAACAAATCCACAAAAATATTTACATTGGTGGCCCATATCAAAATTCGAAAATATTAATTAAAATATCTTATTTAATAGAAAGTAATATGATTTATTTTGCTTTATCACACTATATCTTCTATGTTTCTAAAAAAACCACAATGATAAAGTAATGAAAAAGAGCAACACACATGTTGGTAATTCAAAAATACTTACACACAAGACATACACGCATATCACATGCTCACTATTTGTAAATAATTTGAAAAATCAGTAGCTTCTTTTAAATTGTTAAATGTTAATATTCTGAATTAAAAACAATAATAACAAATGTGAAATGACCATATACAAAGTTAGAATATACAAATAGACATTCATGATTACAAAGCTTAAAACATTATCATCCGCTCAACCTTCACCTTTATAAAATGTTTTTAATATTTTTTTATTAAATGTATTTATATGTATTATTAATAATATTAATAATAACAAATTTAAAAAATAGTATACTTATTTATATTTTTAATATAATAATAATAAGGTTTTTGTTTGCAGAAAAACCCTAATATTTTTGTTTTTACAGAAAAGTTCCAATATTTTGGGTCAATTTATAAAATAGTCTTAAATTAATTTGTTACCTGTTCCAAGCAGTTAAAAAGGGTCAAAATGCAAACTTTTGCTGGTTTTTGAGACTTTTTCGTAAACAAAAATTAGTTTAGGATTAAAACATAAACTGAGCTAAAATTTTAGGACTTTATTGGAGATTTCCCGATTTTTAATATGACATTTCATTCTGATAAATAGTTTTTGTGTACCGAATAGTTTCTTTCGGCATACGAAAAATTGCTACTTTTTAGGGTTTAGAGGATGAAAAAAAACATCTTTTTTTGGTTAGGTTGGGGGTGTTACAAGTTTAGTTGTGTTTTATAGGTTTTATAAACTGTGACGAGAGTGTGACAATTTTAAACCATTGAGGGAACATATTAGGAATAGGAAAGATGGTTTGAGGGTATAGAATATTGACAACAAAGAGAGATGGAATTTCAAACGACTGACTGAATAATTTTATTTTATTTTCGATCAAAGGGGTATGGCAAGCGGTATGTTTATTTATTTTTTTAATATCCAATTCTAATTCATACGACAAAAGAATGTAAAATCAATCCAAATTCTAAATCATACGACAAAAGAATGTAAAATCAACTAATAGAAATTAATGAACATCGTTTGGTTTTAGTTAAAACTAAAATTTAACAAAGTCGGTTTCATCTCTAAAAAGTCTATTTCGAGATTGACTGTACATCATTTGTATTTTTCGATTGTTTATATTATTTAATTTGTATATCGTTATTTAAAAGTTTTTCTAATATATCTTATGCTAAAACAAGTTTTGTTTTTTGGGTATAAATCATTTTGACGTTTCTTTCCTCCTCTTTTATAAAACAACAAATCCTTTAAAATGCAACTATAATTTTAAAAAGTACTCAATTCAAAAGCTTATAATATATAACCTTCTACACCAAAATGAAAGTTTAAATAAAATCCACATTTTGACTTTAAATGTCATCATAAAAATTATATGTTAAATTTAACACCAAGTTTAATTAGTGCGATATAAAGTGTTGTGGCAATTTGCATATACTATGATGAGGTAAATTCATGGGTTTTTTTGTCTATTAATTGAAGTGTTTTTCTGTGGTGCAAAGAAATATATAAAAGTTGAAGTATTTTTATTTTGATGAATAGTTAATAAAGTTTAAATGTTTGTAGTTATCTTTGTCGAAATATGTTAATGGAAGGTATGTACCGTTTTAATGTATTTGAATATTAAAATTATTTCTATATAAATAAAACAAATATTTACAAATCAAGACTTAAACAAAACTTTTAAAGGCTTAGTACGTACTTTTAACCCTAAGTTTATTTCTATATAAATAAAACAAATATTTACAAATCAAGACTTAAAATAAGAATGATAACTTTTACAAATCAAGACTTAAAATTATTTCTATATAAATAAAACAAATATTTACAAATCAAGACTTAAAATAAGAATGATAACTTTTAACCCTAAGTTTAATTAATGTGTTAATAATGATGTAACAAATTTCTAGTATTCTTGTTCTGTTATGATAACTTCTAACACAAATTTTCAGTAACAAATAAAAATGTCCCCATTATAAGTTGATATGATTGTTCACACCCACAGCTGTTCGCCTCACCACAGTTTAAAACCACACTACTCTCCAATGACATGCTACCAGAGGAGAATAAACCACATTTATCAAATTTTAAGCAAACAAATGAAAACATCATACATTTGGAAATACCTTTTTTGGTTTTAAAACACATAAATTGTTGCTAAACGGGCATAACAGTAGACAACATTATAATAGGATTAAGTTGAAATTTCTAAGTTCTTACCATTTGATCAGGAGTAACCACCATTTGTCTTATATTCAATTAAGTATCAAATAAGTTCTTTGACTTTTCTCCGTCTAAAATGTGCAAAAGGAAAATTATTTTTGTAACAGGATTTTAAAAAAAGAAAAAAGTTTTAGAAAAAGAAAAAAGAATTTTGAAAAAGAGAAAAGGGTGTGGTGCATGCAATTAGCCGAGCTCAAATAAGTGCTCTCAAATTATCCATACAAGTTTATGTGATGATATGCTTATCAGTTATAAGAGAACTGCATGCTAGATTAGCAATAAGGATCTAGGCAGGATGCCTTATTTGCCTGTTATATGTGTATCAGCTATATGAGAACTGCGTGCTAGTACAGATTTTTCAGTATGATAGTCTAGTTACTATATATTGATTCTGTGTACTTAATGCCCGAGTGCTGTTTGCTTTGTGCTTTTAGGAGTTCTAATTCTTTTACTAACTAGTAAACGAATATGTTAAGTTACATATTGTAAGGACTAAATAATTTCAGAAGGTTAGGTCTAGCTCTATTTTACAGCTCTTGTTTGAGTCCAACCGTTGTAGGGTAAGATCTCTCATTCAAAAAATTATCTAGGCTAAGTGATATGTAATAGTATTCGCGAGCTAGTTAGGGGAAGAAAGCAGGGACTTTTTATGAAGCTGATGGCGGAATGTGGGATGGTGATTACCTTAGGGCAAGCCTAGGATAAGAGTATCAGAGAGCAGTAATAGTAGAAGGGACTTGGTGGAGTCAAGGCAGTTCTTAAGGAAAGTACGAATAGATGTGGAAGGTAGTATAGGCCCGTACTACTGAAAGCAGAGGATCCATACTCGAATGAAGGAAGGCTGAGATTTACCCAAGGAGCTTGTAGTATGTGAGATCCCTCGAGTTATGATGAGTATCATGAAGATTGTGCTGCTATGCTTTCGAGTATAGTGATGCTACGTGATAGACCAGATGGTAGTTTTGGTGTCGGCGAGTGATCAGGCTCGGACTCTGAAGCCAGACAGCTTAATGGTCAGATGAGGGAGTTCATTCCATCTGAGGGTACGCGCAGTATGATTGACCAGACTCCTGTGATATTTAGTATGATCAAGGAGGGCATTTTAGAGAGTTGTGATGAGAGGATCACTGCATTCTATTATTTTGATTCAAGTACAAATTTGATTATTCGAAACATTATACAATGAATAATGAGTAATCAATATGGTGTTTAAATAAAATGTGTTTTATGTACTCTCAAAAGTGGTTGGGGCCATATAGGATTAGTATTATTCTTGTGTTTCACTTTGCATGTTTTGACTTCCCGAATAACTTGGTTATTTAAACTCTCCATGGTCAATCATACTTTAGAAGTAGGTATGAATCAAGACTGTCATGAATTGGGCTTGTAGATGTCTAAAGTGTTTAGACATAGCAAAAGTTGCTGCAATATTCATGAGTGCTCCTAGAATGAGATTCAAGTATTGGATTAAACCCAAACTCATTTGAATCACTTCATGGATTTTATCACGAGTGATCATGAGACAATAATATCTTATATTCTTCAAACCTATAGATATCATTGGTTGACTATGAGTTGGTTATACATTGATTGTACGAAAACGCATCAGTAATTTGATGTTATAAAATGTACCTTTGTGTATGATTCAAAAAGTAGTTAGTACAAGCATATGGGTCGAAGTTTATCCATTCATTTTACCCTTGGATGGATAAAAGCGATATCTGTGGCCATCGCTGATTTAGTGATGACAAA